CTTGACCCAAAAAATTGAATTTTTATCTCACAACTATGATTATTATCAGTCTGTCGGGAAAATAATGGGGACTTTTTGTGCCTTGCGGTCGCCCATCGTCGCATTGCGACGGCTAGCCACGGCTGGAGATTCGTGCTGCAAAGTAAGAAATTTTGCTACGATAAGTCCACATTATTTTCCCGACGGACTGATATGGTAAAAGCCATATTATTTTTCCGACAGACTGATAGTGTCAAACAATGTGATTCTTCAAATTTTATTTTTTGATTTTTTAAATTTTTTATGCGTCGCACTTGGGACACTTCTTTAGTAAATCTGTCCAAGGTTTCATCATGGTCCAAGCATTGCACTTTGCGTTGTTGAATTTTCAATTTAACCTTCACACATTCCCTAAACTCGCCAAAATCCAGAATTATTATACATATAAGTCCTTCATTTTTGATCACATAAGCGTGACCGACATTTCGAAATCGCCAACTAAAAGACGAATAAGTGAAAGTGATGCCTCGAAGGGATCTTTGCGGTCGAAAAAAACTTCCTTTTGAGGTAGTTTTTGGGGGGAAAGAGGGAGAGATCCGCGCGATTACCACATCCACGTGACTCATCGCTGCTGAAACGAGTTTTCGCGCACCTGCAACTAACCAACGGATAAATGAAACTCCTTGACTGATGATTATGGATGTAGGGCTAAACTGTGGGTCGAATAATTGGGGGAAGATGGGGATTAAAATCAATGAAATTGGGGAGGGGGGAAACCTGTTTTTGGAATTTCTTTGCAAGGAATCCACATTATTTTCCCGACAGAATGATAGTACAGCATTTCAAAAAAAAACACAGAAAAAATTTCAATTTTTGTTCTAGGATTACTGTAACATAGGTATATTACAAATTTTTTTCTAAAATTACTGTCGGGAAAATAATGAGCACCATGTCGCATCGAAAATCGCCGTGAAAAGCATTTTTTTATTTTGTATTTGCCACGGCGCAATTCATTTTCTTGGCGGCGATGCGACTTTTGATGCGACAAAGCGCTCATTATTTTCCCGACAGACTGGTATCTGGGACTTTTTAAACATTGCAAAGGCCTTGGAAGCATCTTCTAACAATTTAGTCATCAAAAAATCTTGTGGTAATCAAAGAAGAACCTTATTCTATCATTTTGGACATCAACAGAATGCCTAAAATTTTTCCGACAGACTCCTAGAAATTATTGAAAAAAAAGAGTTTTTTCGCTGATTGTCTCATCATTTTTCATAGTCTCTTGTTCACACAACCCTTGAATATTTTCGATGTATTTTCAGGTATAAGCAGAGCATGCAGAGAAAAAAACGCAAAAACATATCCAAAGTTATCATGGATACCTTTTGATCCTTTTTGCGGAAAAAAATTCATTAATTTTTTTCGGCGGTGATGCGATTTTCGCTACGACAAAGTGCTCATTATTTTCCCGACAGAGACTGATATCCTGTTTGATCCACAAAAATCTCGATAAATCCTGCGACTTCGCCTCTCATTTTCTCATCAATCTTGAGGTAAGCCACCTTTTGCAACTCCATAACTCACGAGTTCCTGTGGAGCTCGGTCTTTATCAACCTTCCAAAAAAGAGGCTAAAGCTTCTCCCAACGATTCCCAGACATCCCAAAAAAAAAGAAACCGAACACTCCAAGCAACTCGAGGGGGGATCAACGATGAATGGGGCGAAAACGCGTTTACCTCACGACGCGCGCACCTTCAGAAGCCGGTAATTGGTTTAGCGGTGCGCCGAAAGAGTTATATCATAATATTTATGGCGGCGCGCAGCGACGTTGCGTTCGGGTGATCTCTAATTTTGCGGGTGAAGGGAGCAGCGATGGGATGAACTGGTAAACGACTACTTGTGGGATGTCAACGAGGATCACGGCGTTTTAAGGGCGGTTGAAAAGTTTCATTTTCAATTTAGCGCGGGGCTACCGCGAGCGCGGAGAGTGGGGTTTGACGAGAGTTGCGAAGAATTAAACTTATAGTCTTTTAAGGCCCATCCAAGATTTTTAGCTCGCACTTTGTAAAAACTATCGAGATTTTTAGGTCGAAAGGGTCAATACAACCCTTTGTTTGACATTCAAAAAAGAATGTTAGTAAACCGATATAGACATGAAATTATAAGGTCTAGGAGAGATTTTTTTCCTTTGAAAAGAAATCTTTGGACACACGGGCGGATTCGAAACTCTTGTCATGTCTTCTTTGCATTATGCTCGATGGCAAAATACTTTGCGACAAAAACTTGTAGGGGTGTAAAAACTTTGTACTGCACAATTTGACTTACAATTATACATGTCATCCGGCCGTGCAACCATCCAGGTCCGTGTGCCAAAAGTGTTCGGCCGGTTCTGTTTTAAATTTTATTTGGGCTGACCTGGCCCAGGAACAATCTTTAGGTTTACTCTGCTTTCCCCTTTTAGAAAATTTGTTTTGCATTTTGCGCTACTAGTCCATCCGTAAAGTCGCTGAAGTGATTTTTGGCGCTTGCACTGTGCATAAACAGTCAGGGTGCGAGCGACAAAGCTTCGTGAACGGTGCAAAAAGCAAGAACGCAGTGCAAAGTGAACTTTTTTGCACAGTGCATGTCGCAAAAGCAAAGATTTATTTTGATGACTTTGCAAAAGGATTAGCATGGCCTCGTCCCCGTTTGGGGAGTTTTTAGGTATAGTAATTCGTCCATGAAGTTTAACAGCCAAAAAAGCCCTTTGCAGGGTGCAAAAAGCAAAAATTCCATAGTGCAATCTAAGCTTTTGTTTTCACACAGTGCATGCCGCCGAAATTTCTCCAACGAATTTGCGGATATGCTAGTATGCATGCTAAATCTCTCAATGAAATTCTAATCTTTGTTGGGCCAAGTTTCGTCAAAATTATAAACTCTTTCTTTTTGGCAATTCTCCTTTGTGTACACACTTCTTTATTTACATGCCCAAATCTCCAAGCATTTTAAAAATAGATCATACGTTTGTTCGCACAAACTCTTTTCCAATTTATCCCCCATTTTCGTCTATTTTACCCCGCCTTAAGAAGCGTCTCAAAAAACAGCATGCCATTTTAAAAGTCATGTCTAAATTGGTCTTCACACTTCTTCTGAACCCTCAATTTGTCGGCGCGACATTTTTTTTTATTTTCCCAATTAGTGGCTAACAAGTTTTGCGCAATCATCAACTGAAACCCCAAAGCTAAACAATCCTTTTTTTGGTGGGATATGAGGCTCGGGCTGCTTCCGACTACGAATACCTGAGGCGCCAGTGATCAAGGGATCGATTGTAATAACATGAATAAGACGAAACGTACGGCTATATAAGGCGATGACTTTTGGGTAACTTGGATTTTTTTGGGAATTGGAGATTGGGGCTCTTTGGAGTAGAGGTAGTTGTTGTAGGGTTGAAATGTTGACATATTGAACGTTTTGGGAAAATAACTTTCATAGAACAAAATATCTCTTATAACAAACTTTTTGGACGCCCTACGGCCAATTGTAGGCTAAAATAAACCTCTCCACTGCCAAACCTTTCTATAACGGACAATTTTTTTATGGTTGCTTGCGATTTGATGTATAGAATTTCTAATGCTGTTGGAGTATGACCATTGTCAGCATGATGGCATTACATCCAAACTTTTGCACAACGGATCGCAAAGGACCAAAAAACTTGTTTGTTACAGAAGGATTTTGTTGTACTGAGGTTCATTTTGGCCTGGAATTTACCCTATTCTACCAATAAGAGTGTTTATTATAGACGGGCTTTGTTGCGAGGAACAGTGGCTCAACTAGTCCGTTCTTAAAGCCACTATAGTGATTTTTGCAACATGCACTGTGCGAAAACAAAAGTTCGCTTTGCACTGTGCAATTTCTTGCTTCTTGCACCGTGCAGTAGGTTTTTTTCGGCTGTCGCTCTTACCCCAACTTTTTTCTGAACAATGTAAGCTTCCAAAGTTACCACAGCGACTGTACGAAAGGACTAGTAATGTTTTTGGCAGTACGACTACTCCCGACTTGCAGGAATTACATTCAATCATTTGCATAAAAAATTGAAAAGGTCCAGAAAAGAATTTGTTTGTTGTGGAAGGGTCTCGTTATACAAAGGTTCAGTTTTGCCTGGGATTAACTCCACTATATATGAGAATATTTGTCAGAGATGGGTTTCTTTTGAGCGGAAGTTTGTTGTAGAGAGGCCCTGCTTTATCAACCAAGTCTCCAAGCAAAAATGCAACCACCTTTTCCCTCCTTGACACACCCCCGTTTGCCGAGACATCAATCACCGCCCGAAGGTAAACCAGTTTAAGTCTGAGGTGCGTTGGAAAAAGGGCTGCGACACCTCGCCGATCCTCACTCATCGAGAACACAAATCTCACGTCTCATTTGGCGCGCGAGGAAAGTAAAAGTCCGAGGATGACTGTTCTTTTTTTATTGCGGTCCACTTTTCCAATATTTTGATGACTTAAAATTGCATTTTGCTGCAAGCCTCTGTAGAACAAGTTTCAAAAGATTAAAAAAATCATTTGTTATATCAGTCTGTCGGAAAAATAACGGCGGATCGTCGCATCAAAATGTCTCGCCTCGCCGCTGTCGCGCACCAAATCCCAATCCGCGGCTTGCAGTCGCAAAGCGATGATGGGCGATTCCGAGGCGCGACGATCCGCCGTTTTTTTCCCGACAGACCGATATACAAGCGTTTCGGTCCACGCCGGCGAATTTTGGCCGAACATTGACTCTTGTGACCTCCGGCAATGTTTGTTATAGAGAGGTTTCGTTGTACGGGAGTATGTTGTACAGAGTTGTGGTATTCTTTCTGGACCCTTTTTCTTTCAAAAAATAAATTTTTTTGTATTTTATTTGTTGACGAGTTTGATACCCTATTTTTCCGCGTTTTTACCCTGCGGGTTGACTCTTAATTCTCATCTATTTCCAGCTTCATTTTTATATTTTTCTTTGTTGACTTGTTACATGCATTGAACCGGGTATTTCTTTTCTACATTAAAAATGTCTCAACAGCGGAACACTGTCGCAATAAATCGGAGCTTATGGGTGAGTTGGAATTTCGGGCAAAAAATGATTTTTACTTTTCCAAAAATTGCAAAATTAGTCCTCCAATTTCCAGCTCCTCCTCTTCTCCGCAATTTTGGTGCACGCCGACTCCCGCAACAGCAATGTCCCTCAGGCAAAGTCGCCGCCGTTGCCGGCGCCCAAAATCCAAACCATCGATGGGCACAGCGAGACCTCGGCGAAGGCCATGCATCATCTAATGCAGCATCAGGAACGAATGAAGCTTCAGACTTTGAACAAACAAACAGCTGTTGTAAACAATGGCCAGACCGGCAAGAAAGCGCCAATCAAGAATTCGAATCAGTTGAATCAGAAGGGCGCTTCTGAAGGCCTTCCGGCATCGTTTAGACAAGCGACGCAGCCTTCGGGGAAAGGTGAGAAATATCTTTTGATGAAGGTGTTTTGATTTTTTGAGACATTTTATACGACAAATTTGAAAAATTTTAAAAAAGTATCAAAAAGTATCAATAATCAGAAATGAGACTTTTTTTGTTTGAAACGTTATTTGGTGGAGGTATTTTGATTTTTTGAGACATTTTATACGACCAAATGTTTCAAATCACCAAAATTTTGGAAAGGTATCAAAAGCTATCAGTGATCACTTTGGACGCTTTTTGCTAATTTTTTTGAAAGCTTGTTTGGTGGAGGTATTTGATTTTTTTGGGACATTTTATACGGTCAAATCTTCAAAAGCATCAAAATTTCTAAAAAGTATCAAAAAGCATCAATAGTCAAAATTGAGAAAAAAAAATTTGTTTGAAATTTCACTACATTTTGATCTTTTGTGACATTTTACACGAACAAAAATTTGGAAAAAGTATCAAAAGTGTTAATGACCAAAGGTGGGAAAAAAATTTTTGCCTTAAAAATTTGTCCGGTAGAGACATTTGATTTTTTGTGACATTTTATACGATCAATTCAAAAAATTTTGAAAAGTATCATAGAGTATCAATGATCACTTTTGCCGTTTTTTCCTTTTTTGTTTCTGATGGTATGTAGAAAACCTCGAACCCACCATATAACCAATTTATTGTAATTTTTACTCATATTCTTCAATTTCCAGACAAATCCGCAACCGGCAGTAAAGCGCACGGCTACCAGACCCAACAATACGCCTCCACTGGTGGTTGTGCGGGCGGACAATGTGCGAATGGCGTTAATGGCGCCTACGGAGGCCAGGGATACTCGAGTGTGGACTACAATCCATTGTTGGCGGGAGGTGTGCGCGGAGGGCCCGGAATCAAGGCGAGGATCAATTCGCGTGGATTCCAGTACGCTTCGGCCTTGATTGCTCCGATTTTGGATCAAGCAATCCGCAAAGCGAGAATCCCACCGATCACACAGAGAATCGCAGAGGTAGGTTGAGATTTTTTGATGGAAAAATTTGGAAAATATAAATGATATTAGAAAAATGACGATTTTTTTGTTATTTTTGCTATATCTTGTAAGAAAATTAATATTTTTTCTTGAAAGTCATACCAAGTGAGGCTATATGGCCTCTACTTTTTATCTTTATAAGTTTTTTGAAAATGGCCTTGAATTTTCGAAGGAAAAATTTGGAAAAATCTGAAAAATATGGAAAAATGCCATTTCTTCTTATTTTTGCCATATCTCATCGGGAAATTCATATTTTTTCTTAAAAGATCTACTAGGATAGTCTATAAGACCTTGGCTTTACAGTCATATGGGTTTTTGGAAACTTCTCTGCGCTAAAGTACGACTTTTTTTAAGAAAAACGGCTGTTTCCTTGAACTTTCGAGCTCTTGAAGACTTTTATTTTTCCTGAAACCCTTCGGGCATAAAATATTTTTTCACTGATTTATCCAAACAATAGCATCCATGACGGTTAAGTTGATATATCATTTAGCATGATCCATCAACTGTATCAAAAGATACGATCAAAATAAAATTGCCACCTTTTACTGAAATTCACAAAATTTCAAAATCATCATCCCGTATTTTACCCGCAATTTTTTCAGGTAAATGGTTGTATTCAAGTCTACAATCTCTACGTTAGTCGCTACCGTTGCCCTCAACGAGTTGTCCTTTATCCAGCGCCTCCAAATCAAATTGTTTTGGCTGTCCAGAATCTGGATGTTGGGTAAGTTGATATTATGGCTTTTTGCGGTGTCATCATTATACGTATATTGCAAAGAAAGTTATAGTTAGCGCAAATTTCAATACAAAAGTTTTCATCGACACTCTTCGATACTTTTTGCGGAAAAATTTAGAAAAATTTATTTTTTCCACATATTACTCCTATTTTTTGAGCCACTTCGTATTTTACCCTCCAACTTTCAGAGTGACCGGAAACTTGGCCGGAACGGCCAACATCTTGATCCCAATTCCAATCAGTGGAATCATCGAGGTGAACGCGCATCAAGTCTCGATTACCGTGGCGTTGGTTGTGGATCGCGCGGCTAGCGGTGGAATTAGTTTGAGAGTTGCAAGTTGTCAAGCCTACATCGGATACCTTGATGCGTACATCGTGAATGGCGGTCTGATCGGCGATTTGGCCAATGGAATGTTTAGAGTGAGCGTTTGGTGGGGGTTTTAGGGGTTGTTGCGGAATGCCAAGAATTTGAAAATTTTGGCGGGAATTGAAATTATTGAAATTTTTTAAGATTTTTGAGCTAGCTGTGATTCTGTAAAGGATTTTGACTAATTCAACATTTCTTGTGAAATTCCTGACCTTTGCAACGGAATGCCAAGATTTTTTGAAGAGTGCCAAATTTGGCGGGAAATTTGAATTTTAAAAGATTTTGTGAAGAAAACCGTGAAAATTTTCACGTCATTTGACAGTTTTTGACATTTTACAACACTTGAAACAGAATGCCAAAAACTTTATTTTTGGCGGGAAATTTGAACTTAAAAAGATTTTGGGTGGAAATTCAAAGAATCTCTAATTTTTACGTCATTTTGACTGTTTTTGATATTTTACAGCACTTGAAACAGAATGCCAAAAATTTTATTTTTGGCGGGAAATTTAAATTTCCAAATTTTTGCTCGTTCAGGTATCTAACACAATATCCGATTTAACTAACATAAGACCACTCTTTTCAGGGCCGAATTTCCAGCCAAATCCAGCAAATGTTGCCGGGCGAGCTCTGCAACCGACTGCCCGGAATCCTCGACTCGGAAGTCAACTCCAAACTCGGCGCCATTCCTCAGTCCATCTCGTTGACGCAAATCCTGAATGCGGCTGGTGGTGCGCTCGGAATTCAGAACCTTCTGGCTGGCGCCGCATCCGGCGGTCAATGTCCCTCGACCTGTGGTGGAGCTCCAGCTCAAGTGCCAACGCCCGTTGTGGCGCCGCCAGTGCCAGTTGGGCCGGCGCCAGCTCCGTTGCCGCCAGTCGGTGCGGCGTTGCCATATCAGGCCGGTCCGGTGGCTAGACCGGTAGCCGGGCCTGTAGGATTGCCTGTCGGGGCTGCTTTGCCTTATAATGTTGGGCCAGCCGCGGTGAGTAGGGATTTTAAGCAAAATTTTTGAAGAAAAAGAGAGCTATGAGCCTTACTTATATAGGTGATATTTTTGGCTTTAAAACTTCTATAGCCCTTCTATTTTCAGCGCGCCGCTCCCAAAGCCCAATCCATTCCGATCCCAACGGACCATGGCCATAATGGAGACAACTTGGCCACACTCAACTCCCGAAAGGTCCAAAGATACCATGTGGCGGGAGTCAGTGCTGTGCAGGTAAATACTTTCGCCCAGCATTAACATTTAGCTTCAAACCAGCCAAAAATTCCGTCTGCAACGAAGCGACAGCTAAAATTTTCAGCGGTTGATAGGCGGGCTAGACGGTTTATCATGGCTTAGTTTTACGCTACGTCTAGATGCTTCTATATATTTCGGGTTGCCGTGCGTCTTCTCGGGTCAACAACAGTTCGGTCGATTTTACTTTGGGTTTCTCCTTGATTTTTCGTTGTATGCATGGCTAGGAGAAGGCATAGTTAATAGAAACTGTAAGATTGTTCGGGCCCTAGGGTAGTTTGTCACCTATTCTGTGGTATTTTACAGGTATTACGGCACTAATTTCGAGATAAAACTCACAGGTCTTTGTCTTTTGGAAAAAGTTTTGGTTTTGCTGGGCCAAGTCTCCGCCGAGCTCCAGCAGCTCTTACCGGCTTTGCAGGCACTTCCTACAACCTTGTTTTTTAGCTCTCCCACTTGTATTGAACTATAGTCGACCTGAAATGTCGGGACGCGAAAATATTTATTTATTCGCCTTTCCAAGCCTCTAAATTTTCGAATTTTTCAGCAAGCCCGTCCCCTTCCCCGACCCGAAGGCTTCGACGCTCGCGGCCGCCGGATCGCCCGCGCCGCCGCTCCAAAAGCAACGATCCCGGTTGTGGTGGAGAGCCGAAACAAGACCAAAGCCAAAGCCTTTGGAAGTGGATCTGTGCAGTTTGGCGGAGCCGGTGGTGCCGGTGATGTTTGCTCTGGTTGCCCAAGCAGCGGCGGTGGAAGTCAGCTGGGATTCTTGTCGACGCTGGTTCAGTCGTTGGATTTGGTAAGTAATTTTTTGGGGGAAACGTAAAATTTTCAAGTCAAGAATGTTGATTTGAGCTACTTTCAGCCTTAGTTTTGTAGTGTTAGAACCTTGTAGGGGGACATTTTATACGATGTGATGATTAAAACTTTTTTGAAAAGATCGAAAAGCGATGCATAAAGTATCTCAGAATTTAGTCTTCAGCTTTGAGACGAGGTAAAAAGACGAATTGTTGGCGGAAATTTATGTTTGGTGACATTTTATACGATGAAAGCTGCATTTGTGCAAAACTTAAAATTTAGCGTATAAAATGTCGCCAATAGCGAAGATTAAAATTCTTCGATTAGAACAAGGTCTTTAGGACATATGAATAAGATTTTCGGTAAAATAGACTTTGCTTGAGACATTTTATATGATGAAAACTGGATTTGCATGAAAATTAAAATTTTGCGTATAAGATGTCGCCAAAGTCTAAAAAAACAATTACCCATAAAGGCAAGGTAGTTAGGTCAAACGAAAGCATTTTCTTTAATCATAGTGTCAAATTATACGATGAATTGCAAATTTTTTACGAAATCCAAAATTTTTCGTATAAAATGTCACCCACCATTTTTTCGTCAAAAATCGATATTTTTAGAACAAACTCAGCACGTTGGCGATCACCACTCAACTTCTTCAAAGCTACGCCACCAGCAATGACTACACGATCGAGATCAACGGAGAGTTCTCGCCGAATGGCCAAGGCGGCACTCCGTTCGGCCCATTCCCCATGTATTTCCCGTATTCGCCGGGCCGCAAAATGGCCGAAGTGTTGGTCAGCGACTACACCATCAACTCGCTGTTCTACTGGCTTCATCGGACTGGATTCCTGACCTTCCGCATCGGGCCCGAGACTCCGAAAATTGGGGAGTTGTTGAGAACAACCTGTGCTGACGCCGACGAAACCCTGGAAGATCATGGTGTGGAGGTGGATGAGGAGCTGAGAAAACGAAGAAGGAAGCATAAGAGAGAGGCGGGGTAGGTCGAATAATTGAAAAATTAAAAAAAAAAACAAATTTTGAAATTTTTTTCGAAAAATATGGATTTTTCATAAAAAAACGATGCAGGAAGCATAAGAGAGAGGCGGGGTAGGTCTGAAAATTGAAAAAACAAAAAATTTTTTTTTTTTTGAAAACTGAAAAATAACAAAAACAACCGAGATTTTTAGGTCAAAAAATGGGGAAAATTATAATTTTTTTTACAAGTTTGGGCAATAAGAATATAAAAAAATGTTTTCCTAAGACGGAAATTTTCAAAATTTGAGAATCGATTTAATTTTTTGTACATTTTTTAGCAAAAAAAATTTTTTTATTGCTTTATTGCAGTCTGTCGGGAAAATAATGAGGGCAATGTCGTTGCGCCGGTTGCATCGCTGAAACGAAAAAAAAATCGATTTTCTCCGCGACACAATTCATTTTCTCGGCAGCGATTCGATTTTTGGTGCGACAGAGGGCTCATTATTTTCCCGACAGACAAATTACAAAAAATTTTTATTTATTTTTTAAAATTTTTTTGCTTTATATAATTTGGAAGTAAAAAAATTAATAGATTTTTTTTTATTTTTTCCCCATTTTTTTACATTTTTTTGCATTTTATTTTTTTACTTTACAAATAAAAAAAATCGATTTTTCCAAAAATTTTTCGTATTTTAATAATTTTTTTTCAATTTCAGACTCTCTCCCTACGACTTCACCATCATCCGTCAGAAGCGGCAAGACACCTCGTTGACGGATCTCGGAATTTGCTTCGGCGACATTCTCCCAGCAATCCGAGAGCGCTACCCCAATCAACGAATCGTAATCGCGATAAAAACTCGACAAGCACCGTCGATTCTTTTGTCGCAACGGAATGGAGGCACTGTGACGTTGGACTTGGTCGCCGACGCCGAAATTTACATTGAATCGACGAATCAACGAGTTGGGGCCATCACAATCTCAGCTGCGGCTGATATTGTCGTGTCGACTTATGGTGAGTTGGTTTGGAAAGTTTAGAAAAATTTTTTGGAAAATCGAAAAAGATAAAAAAAAAATTATTTTCGCAAAATTTAAAATACGCAAATTCTTCGCCATTTCACTAAATCAAAAAAAAAATAAAACAAATAATAAAATAAAGATTTTTTTTTGATCCAAGAAAACTTAAAATACGCAATCTCCTCCGCCATTTTACTTAAGCAAAAAAATAATAAAGAATAAAAAAAAAACAAAAAAAAAAACAAAATGAAAAAGAAAATCAAAAAAAAAAAAAAAAAAATAATAAAACAAGAATTTTTAATCCAGAAAAAAAATTTTATTTTTTTTTCAGCATTTTTCCAAAGTAAAAAAAAAATTAAAAACAAATTCGAAAAATTCGAAAAATTCGCATCAAAAATTTCTTCAAACAACTTCTCTAAAAATATTTTTTTGTCCAGTGAAAATTTTAAAATTCGAACCGTTACATTTATATCTTTGTTTTTCAGGTGGCCGGATCAGTGGAAGCGCTCAAATTACCCGATTGCAACTCAATGATTACGAAGGTACCCTCGGATTGCCTCAAGATGCTCTTGACAACTTGGGTTCGCTGGGAAAAGAAGTCATCCAGAAGGTAAGGAGGCCTTAGAATTTTCGGAAAATAATTTTCAAAAAAAAATTTTTTGTTGTCTCACACAGTGCAGTTTACTCTTTTCCGCACGGTGCGGAGCATTTCGAAACACTTTGCACTGTGCAAGCGTCTGTTGCGACCGCAAAAAAATAAGCTTGCACCGTGCGTTATTTCGATTGCACAGTGCATTTTTTGCGAACCATTTTGCACTGTGCAAGCGTCTGTCGCAACCGCACAGTGCAAAAAAGATCGCTTTTTTCTGCACCCTGCGGATCTTTTCGAACCATTTTGCACTGTGCAAGCGTCTGTCGCAACCGCACAGTGCAAAAAAGATCGCTTTTTTCTGCACCCTGCGGATCTTTTCGAACCATTTGCACTGTGCAGAGGTCTGTCGCCACCGCACAGTGCAAAAAAGATCGCTTTTTTATGCACCGTGCGGATCTTTTCGAACCATTTTGCACTGTGCAGACGTTTGTCGCAACCGCACAGTGCAAAAAAGATCGCTTTTTTATGCACCGTGCGGATCTTTTCGAACCATTTTGCACTGTGCAAGCTTTGTCGTCATCGCACAGTGCAAAAAAGATCGCTTTTTTATGCACCGTGCGGATCTTTTCGAACCATTTTGCACTGTGCAAGCTTTGTCGTCATCGCACAGTGCAAAAAAGATCGCTTTTTTATGCACCGTGCGGATCTTTTCGAACCATTTTGCACTGTGCAAGCTTTGTCGTCATCGCACAGTGCAAAAAAGATCGTTTTTTTCTGCACTTTGCGGATCTTTTCGAACCATTTTGCACTGTGCAGACGTCTGTCGCCACCGCACAGTGCAAAAAAGATCGCTTTTTTATGCACCGTGCGGATCTTTTCGAGCCATTTTGCACTGTGCAGACGTCTGTCGCAACCGCACAGTGCAAAAAAGATCGCTTTTTTATGCACCGTGCGGATCTTTTCGAACCATTTTGCACTGTGCAAGCTTTGTCGTGATCGCACAGTGCAAAAAATTAAAAAAAAAATCTTTCAAATCTCAATTTTTCAGGCCGCCAACGACGCGCTCCAAAACGGAATTGCCCTCAACATTCCCAGTGGAATTGGTGGACTTCCAATCAACTTTGTGCAGCCCGAATTCCACATTCTGGAGCATGCGTTGCACATTGAAAGCGACTTCACCGTGGATCCGGCGGGTCTTCAGGGCCTGTTGGGAGGCGGTGGCGGCGGATTTGGAGGCGCGTGTCGACGGTAGAGGCCATAAAACAATCGAAAATTTGATTTTTTTTTGCACATTTTTAGGATTTTTTAGATAATTTTTGGGGAAAATTGTTGATTTTTTGGTGGAAAAATTACTGTATTTATTGAAAAATTAATTTTTTCCCCTAAAATACGATTTTTTTTAATTTCAAAAAAAAATTTTTTTTCAAAATTTCATTTTTTTCCACTCAAAAAATCGCAATTTTTCCTCATTTCTGCTCATTTGTTTGTTAATATTGTTGTTCTTTCACCCCGCGCAATAAGCCTTGTTTGTACATTTCCGTCTCTAATAATTCCTGCCATCTGTATAAACGGTGTCTTTCGTATTTCATCAACCACCCCACAAAACCCCGAATTCTTCAGTGTCAACAAGTCAGGTGCATTGTAATTTTTTTTATTTTTAAGTAAAAAAAATATTCAAATTTTGGCGGGTTTTGCCAATCGGTATGTCGGGAAAATAATGAGCACTCTGTCGCATCGAAAATCGCAAAAAAAATGAATTGTGTCGCGACAAAATCAAGTTGCTTTTCACTTCAGCGACGCGATTGGCCCAGCGACATTATCCTCATTATTTTCCCGACACATTGATGCATAGTTTTTGGGCCCAAAAATCGGCCGAAAGCCACTTGTATCAAGCTGTCGGGAAAATAATGTGGATTCATCGCCTCTTGGAATCGGTCATGATTGCATGTTTTTGCACCGTGCCAGAGTGGTATTTAGCATTCCACACACTTTGCGCGTTAAAAAAATGGCGCTGTGCAAATGAAAAGGCATGCGACATTATTGGCGGCTGCCCTCTTCGGAAAGATCATTTTGTACTGCCGGAAGTCGTATCGCCAACGAGAAAATGAATTGTGTCGCAGCAAAATCAGCTTCCTTTTCAGTTCAGCAAAGCGAAATCGATATTGTTCTCATTATTTTCCCGACATACTGTCACTCACTCCCATTCGAACGGGACAAATTGAGAAACATCTTTTTTGGAAACCGATTTCATGACCACACCGTTGTCGTGAAGCCGTGCTGGGGCGGGTGTCTTTGTGGTTATGATGATTCCGATTTCATACGCAACATGGCGGAATGGTGGAGCCGTAGTGTGAATCATAGGTTCAAGGTCAGATTTTAAGGCATGGTACTTGTTGTACGCGTCTGAAAAATACGAAGAGTAACCTGAGCAATTTTCTTGCCACACAGTGGAAACCCCAAAAAAAGGTGGAGTGTACGGTGCAAAATGGGGTTTTTTTCACGGTGCGGGGCGCGACAAATGTCCATGCACTTTATGAAGAAAACTAATATCAGTCTGTTGGAAAAATAATGAGTACAATGTCGCTGCATAGACTGTGTCGCTGAAGCGAAAAGAAAGTTAATTGTGCCGCGACGCAACTCATTTGCTCGGCGACGATGCGATTTTCGATGCGACAGGGCGTTCATTATTTTCTCGACAGACTAATATCAACAACGACCTACCTCCGCCAGTCTCCTCGTTTGATTCCTCTGGCTGCTCGTCGGAAACACTGTGAGATTCCGCCCTCCGATCTATCGTTTCGTCAAGGCTGGCAAAACGATTGTAGCGGAAAAAACGGTTGAGTGGACTGACCAATCCGGCGCATAGCATAACAACCAGAGCGACTCTCATTTTAGATGACATTAGCGCGAGATCTTCGACAATTTCTTCGATGTTCGAAGTGGGAAAACAATGTCTTGCATTGTTTTGATTTATCGGAGGAAGCGCTTGTTACTTATGACATGGTGATACTTTTTTGATAGCGAAAGAATTTTAGTGGTTCCACTCGCAGAATAAAACACACATAGTAGGTATTTTGCTGCTACAAACTTTATTTGACATAAAAATGTAAAAAATAGGCAAAAAATAAGAGGTTTTTTGGCTCGCTGCGGTAGGATTTGTTAAAGACCAAGCATCAGAAGGATGTTATTAGGAGGGCCTAGCACAAAGTCCCTTTGCGACGCCGTACTTGACCGTACGAAATTTTATGCCTTACAGGCGTAATTCGGCAAAAAATGGGGGCATGTTTTAGCCACCTATACCGACATCTTGGGCCAAAGAACTTATGTTAGAAAAGTTTCTTTTGAATGTCCTGACGCAGCGAGCCAAAAAACCGTCTTTTAGGTGAAAAATCTCAGAAATATATAAAAAGTGATGATGTTATGGCGAAGAGGTGGGGGACTTGAGACCAGTAAAAATGGCGAAAGAAAACTTTAGAGTCATGGGATAAGAAAATATAGTAGACCCGCTACAACAAACTTTCGTACAACAAACCTATGTACAACCACTCGCAAAGGACCAAAACAATGTTCGCTGTAGAAAGGTTCCACCTTGCAGAGACTAATCTCGGCCAAAAATTGCCTTAAAAAACCACTGGCATTGTTCGTTGCAGTAAAAGTGTTGTTGTATGAAAGTTTGTTGCAAAGAGGCTCTTTTACGATTACCATAGACTTTTTTAGAATTTTTTGTGTTGTTGCGGGGATCTCGGCGAAATTTCGGCGGTATGCAACACGGGGTTTTTCGCGAATTTATCGCTCAACGTTTCTTTGTTCGTGAACGCGTCGACAAAGGATTTGCCGCGCGAATTGGAACGCTCGTCTCGTTCGATTCGAATGGGAACATAATGCACGTGATGCCCCTCTTCGATGCGTTGCCGGTCGTCCGCACTTAGCGGGGGAGTGTACAGATCGTAGGCTGAAAATGAAAATTTTTAGTTTTTAAAAATGTTTTGGGGGTTCTTGGAGAAAAGTTTTTTGATAAAGCTCGGCAAAGGCAATAAAATATCAGTCCGCCTGGAAAATAATGAGCACTCTGTCGCATCGAAAATCGCATAGGGAAAAATGAATTGTGTCGCGGCAAAATCAAATCGCTTTTCACTTGAGTGAGTTTTACGCGGAAAAGATTTTTGGTGGATTTTTTTTTACACTTGCCTCTCCAGTATAGAAACAGGTACGAAAAAATTTTATGCGAAAATCCTTAAAAAAAACCTTTCATTTTTGCCAGGTCCCGGCCTAAAAATCTCGGTGGTCCCCGGCGGCAAAACATCTTTTTTTGGCAATTTTGCTATTTGCTATGCATTTTTTGTTTTTTATCAGTCAGTCGGGAAAATAATGAGCAAAATGTCGCTGCGCCGATGGCGTCGCTGAAGTGAAAAGCAATTTGATTTTGTCGCGACACAATTCATTTTCACAGCGGCGATGCGATTTTAATTGCGGCAGAATGCTCATTATTTTGCCGACAGACTGAGATTTTTTAATATGTGGAAAAGCAAAAAAAAATTTTTTTAACGAATTTGCTACGCAAACTGTTTTTTGTTAATACTAAATTCCCAAAAATTTCAAAAACATACAGGGATGTCCCGCTGAATTGGAATAATAATCCTTCGGTGGGACAATTTCCAATGGTCTCACAACATTTGCCGGATAAATCTTCCCATCCTCTTTGTTGTAGCGCTGATCTACCAAATAGTCTCGCATCCACATGTAATCACGATACGAAAACGCAACATAAACCGCGGCCAGAACTGCGTGGAAAAACAGGCCCAAGATGATTAACAGCCCGTAGATGTAGATTTGGGCTCGAGTTGCCTTGGGGAAAATTCCGACCGCCTCTTTTTCGGCGTAGTCATCGCGACGAGCGTACGCCAAACCACCGAGCAGGAAGATGAGGCAAAGTAGAAGGAACAGGACGACTAGGAAGAACTGGAAAACGCAAATTTTTGAACGAAAAATGTAAAAAATGAGATTTTTTGAAAAAAATTGAAAAAAATGTTTGTTTAATTCTCGATGTAAAGTAAAAGTTATAGTGATTTTTTTTTTGATTTCAGGTGAAATTTTGTATGCGAAACTCAAAGAAGCAAAATTTACAAAAAAAAGTATCAATGATCGCTTTTGATACTTTTTGACTGAAAATGGTTTAGAGCTTGGTGTAAGATATGCAAATTAGTGCTTATGAGTTCTCTCGCAAGGCGCAAAAACGTGTCAAGACTTTTTGGCCCAACTATCAGCCTGTCGGGAAAATAACGAGCACGTTTCAAGCGATCATGGGCGATTCCAAGCCGCGACGAATCCACGTTATTTTCCCGACACACAGTGGCGGTTTTCGGCCAATTTTTGGGCCCAAAACCTATCAGTCTGTCGGGAAAATACAGGGTCTTTCAAGAAATGTGCAGGAAAGTAGGAGGCTGTAACTTTCGGCGGAGGCGGCGCAGAGAGTTCGTTTTTGGAATATGTATTTTTCAGTGACATTATTTTTTGCCTACGAAATAACAAGCTTTTAGAGTGCAAACTGAGGTCGCTACGACCTTATGAAGTAAAGGCATCGCTACCCCGAAAACCAGGGTTTTTCGGTTGAAAATGATCGAGAAATTTCAGAGTTTTTCGGTCGAAAATCACCGAGAAATGTCGGGTTTTTTGGGGGGGTTTCGATAGAGCTGACGTTGAAAACAGGGAAGGGAATTGCCAACACGTTGAAAATTAAGCAAATATTCGGCTGCTCTTCATTCTGACACTTTGGCTAGCCAACCAGTTTTTGTTAGCAGTTTAAAAGTTTGGTTGTCATTCCTGTCCTTTAACGCCCATTACACCATTTGACTAGTTTTTATAAGACTTCACAGCCATTCTGGTGTCTTGGCTAGCCGATTCCAGGTTCCTCAAATCCCTAAATGATGTCACGCTTCTTCGCGGAAGATACCGAAAAATAAACTCGAAATCTGCCCCAAGTTGAGGCTAGCCGAATATTTGCTAAATTTCCAACGTGTTGGCAACATCCTTCCCTTTTTTCAACGTCAACTCTATCGGAACCCCTGAAAAAATCCGACATTTCTTGGTGATTTCCAACCGAAAAAGACCGAAATTTCTCGATCATTTTCAACCGAAAAAACCTGGTTTTCGGGGTAGAGATGCCTTTACTTCAGAAGGTCGTAGCGACCTCAGTTTGCACTCTAAAAGCTTGTTATTTCGTAGGCAAAAAATAATGTCACTGAAAAATACATATTCCAAAAACGAACTCTCTGCGCCGCCTCCGCCGAAAGTTATAGCCTCCTACTTTCCTGCACATTTCTTGAAAGACCCTGTAATGAGCACAATGCCGCTGCGCCGATCACGTCGCTGAAGGAAAAAACAATTTGGTTTTGCCGCGACGTACGCATTTTCTCGCCGGCGATGATATTTTCGATGCGACAGAGTGCTCATTATTTTCCCGACAGACTGATAAAAACTCCATATTTCTTTTACTTTTAGCTTCGCAAGCTTACATTCCAAACGAAATGCGGCCAGTACATCCAGGGGCGATTCTCCATATTCCCAATTAGTACAAGAATAGAAAAAACGAGTTCAATAATCGGCAACACAACCACGAACCAAGGGAGTTCCAGATAGATGAACAATGAAGTGTAGAGGATCGCAAAGATTATTCCAATAATGGCAAAGATGAAGGTTAGACGCTGAAAATGAATAAATAGGAAATTGAAAAGTAATAGGCTGAAAAAAGTCAATATTTCAAGTTCTCAAAGTTTTCGTGGCGAGACCCAAAATTTCCTTAATTGTCTGGGAAACAAGTCATATTGACGGATTTATAGTGTAAATTTGGGGCTAGAAAATAGAGACAAGACATTCTTTTGAAGTATCGTCATTATGGCGGATTTTTTTTTAAATTTCAAATTTTTGAGTCTCGGCACGAAAACTTTTATTTAAAAAAAAATTCCTTCCAATTAAAAATGAAGAATTTTAAGTCCATAAAAAAAATTGGTAATATTAGGACAGATTCATCCGTCATAATGACGGACTTTTTGAAAACTAAAAAAAATATTATAAATGTTTGGTCCCATAGCAAAAACCTGAAAAAAAATCTTACATGATTGAGTCGATGAGCTCCAATACAACAAGCCTCGAGCACACCCGGCTCTCTCGGGCTCCCATCTTGCGGCAAATGCTCGTGGTTCTTCCAGAACAAAGTTTCAAAACACCCGAGACGCACGAACTTCCGGACCGCCTTGATACACATTTTTTGGGCGCTAAAATTACATAGTAAACAGAAAAATTTCAGTTTGTAAAAATTATAGTACTCGCGGCAAAAAGTCATGAGAATTTTTCGTTGTGCTCATTATTTTCGCGACAGACTGAAAAAACTAAAATTTTTCAAAAAAAAAAATCGAATGACATGAAGAACATTCGTCGATTGCCATTTTATTCCACGAAATTTCTCGGGGATCCCCTTCAATTAAACCGAACGCAAAGACCGCCTTTTTATGTGACTCTTATCAAGTTGAGTGCAATATGAATTTCATCAGATTATGGGGTTCTTCCCAAATATTAAATGTTTCTTGCGGTCAAAGTGTAAAATAGATTTCTTTTGCAAGATTTCTTGCTTTGCAATTTTTTCAGATACTAGTTCGTAAAGTCGCCGGAGTGATTTTTGGCGTTTGCACTGTGCTGCAAAAGTCGGGGTGCGAGCGGCAGCCCAAAAAAGCCTATTGCGTTGTGCTACTCCAGCAACTTTGGGAACGGACTAGAATTACACATTATTGGGTCGAAAGAAGTAGAAATTTTCGATTGTTTTGTAAAAAGTCAGTCTGTCGGGAAAATAGTCAGCTCACTTTATTTTCTCGACAGACTGATACTTTGTTGTAGATCATAAACGACATCCTCACAGCTTTGGTAACATGCAACAATTCGTCAAAAATGTGTCACATTTAATGTCTACTCTTGACTTAAGAATCTTGGTAGTTTCTTCAAAGCGCGAGCTAGGAGTCTCACATGTGTCATAGAAAAAATAATTCTGAATCTACACTAATTGTAAGTTTCATCGTAATCTGGGCGTCGATCCTGGAGTATATACATTATTTCCTCAACGATGATGCAACGGAAATTAAATAACATGCCTAATACGCCCTTTTAGAAACCCCTAAACTTGATCTTGAGACTAAACAACAAACTGCTTGACGTAAATCTATTTATGTCCTTTTACGGGCATTCAAGAAATTTCCATGGAGAGCAGAGTTCGCTCATCTTATCAGTAGACATCCCCAAAGACTTATCAAAGTTTTTTGTAATAATAAAAGTCCCTCAATTTTAGGGAATCCCCCGTTTTAATGGTGTTCAAAGAAGTCAAAGAAGCACTTTTCGAAAATGGAAAAAGATAAAATTTGCAAGAAACTATTGTAGAAATTACAAAAGGTAATTTCTACAAAATGAATCAAACAGTCTTGACATACCATGCACGGTACAAATGCACTAAACCAAGTAGCTGTACTGGCCCTCTAAATCTTTGCAACCGTTGATGAAGCTGTCACAACTCTAAAATCTTCAGCTCCAACTTCTCTTTGGAAAAATTTCTGGAGCCTAAAAGTTGCCTTAAAAAATCAAAAAATGTAGAACATTAGCTGCCGGCCAAAAAGCAAGGTTTTGCCTTGGCTAATCAAGAAGAAAAAACAGCCACAAATTTCCTTCAAAATTCTATTATACAGGGGAAGTACTCCAAGTGCGACTCTCAGATTTTCTTTAAAATTTGCACACACGTCGGGTATAGGCTAAACATAAATTCCTGAAAGTTTTAGCTCGCGCTTTACGGGCGCCGCCGAGATATTCAACGATCTTTGCAGCCGAGAGAGCACGCTAAACGCGGAGAGTGGTCAGAGAGAAAAACACTTTTTGACCATAACTTTGGCAGTTTCGCGCAGAAAAATTTGATTTTTTGTAGAAACATTTGTCTTTACGGTAGAAATAGGCATGAAACTTTTCGTGCCGAAATTCGGCAAAAAATCCTAAATTTTGGCCGACTTTCGATCTAAAAATCTCGGTTGTTTCGGCAAAGCGCGGGCTAGGATTCTCACATATGTCTTAGAAAAAATTATTCTAAATTTGTGCCAATTTTCATCAAAATCTGAGCGTCGCACTTGGAGTACTTCCCCTGTATAGTTGTGACGAACATCGATAAAATCTCGGCCAGGAAATAGCTTCAACTACGCTGGGTTGACGTGCCATGTAAATTACTTTCTAGACCACTTCTTTTATCATCCTGTCGGGAAAATAATGAGCACTCTGTCGCATCGAAAATCACATGAGAAAATGAATTGTGTCGCGACAAAATCAAATTGCTTTTCACTTCAGCGACGAGTTCGAGACAGCGACATTGCGATGATTATTATCCCGACAGAGTGATACATAAGACACATTTCAATATTTCAAGCCTCAAAACACCCAATAAACCTTTTGATTCCCCATTTCCCTCATCAAATAACCCAACTCAAGTCGCCTTAAGCGCCAAAAACAATGTTTCCAAGACCCACATCAATTCCCTTTTTTGTTTTTAACATTGTGATAAAAGCGTAAAAGTAAAAAGTGAATGGGTAAAAGTCGATTAGAAATTAAACGCAATTGAAGGGAAATAAATCGCATTCTTCATGGTGTAATGGAAATTAATCAGAAAAATGACACGTAAAGGGCGTGTTGTATCGGCGGAAAAGCAAAAATTTGTTAAAAAATTGAATGCGCGGAGATTTTTAAATTCAGTTTGGATCAGATTTGACAGTCAAAGAGTTCCAATTGCAACGCTTAGATTGTGATGAAACTTCGTATAACTTGCAGACTTGGCTCTGGGGCCGAAAGTGGCAGCCAGGCGCCGCGGTCAACCGGAGTACAGGTCTAGTGGCAAAAAACGTAGCATTTTGCATCCGGGAAGTTTCAAAAATATGGCAAAATGCCTCCTTCTCCAACTAAAAACTCTGTTTTGAACTGCGCGCCCTTTCCATCACAAAAAGAGTGGCTTTTTCAAATCGGAGTTTTTTCACTTGGAGAGGGAAGCATTTTGCCTGCGCGAGGCCTCTAAACTCGCACTTTGCAGAAACGAATGAGATTTTTAGATCGAAAGTTGGACGAATTGTGACATTTCTACTGCATAGTGTAACCTTTCCACAAAAAATCAACTTTTTTCCGCACGAAACTGGCAAGGATATGGCCATTAAGTATTTTTCTCTCTGACCACTCTCCGCGTTTTGCGTACTCTCCCGGCGGCAAAGATCGTTGAATATCTAGGCCGCGCCTGAAAAATGTACAAAACAAACGCAACTTTTCGTTATTTTTTGGCCTGGTGAATAGGAGGGTCGACTGGACAAAGTAAAGGTGAATATCGGCAAATTGGGTAAAAATCAAGCGAAAAATTTGCGGGCACATTCGGTAATAGTAATTTTCTTCACAAAAAGTTCATTTCTCGGTCAAGTTTCTCATGGAGAGGTCAAAAATATGTATTTCTCATTCGTCGTCTTCGCTCAAACATGGTTCGGTGGGTACTTCCGATCCCTCTGCTCTTGTTAGCGACTCTTCATGGGACTGGTGCGGCGCAAGGGAATCACACGCCGGTGGATCCGAGCCAGGAATGCATCCCGGCCGATAAACATCCGCAGTAGGTCACAATATCATTGTAGTAAACATAAGGATATTTACGGAAAAGTGAAAGCATAAAGACAAAAACGGCCTTTGAATTTTCTCGGCACACTTCTAAATTCAAATGTACTTCTATTTTTCCCTTCTTTAAAAATTTTCTCTGGCAGGCTGCGCCCCACATGAAATTCAATTTTTGCGGTGTGTGCCCAGGATTTAAACGAATTTGGCGTTTTAAATTATATAGCACGCCTGTATGCGCTTTTATTTCAAACTGCAGCCGATTTTCCGCCACTTGTCTCCCTGCAGCCTGCGCCCTGATAAAATTCTTCTTTCGCAGTCTGCGCGCTGGAAACGCGGATAGATCTTTGAAAAGGCTTTTGAATATTTTCAGCACACTTCTAAGTACACATTTATTCCATTTTCAACCCTTATCTGCTATTTTTCTTCGGCAGCCTGCGCCCTACAAAAATTTTTCGTTTGCAGCTTGCGCCCTAAAAAACGGCTAGATTTTAAACAGCACGTTGAAATTTCGATTTGATTCTATAATTTATTATTTTTTTGACTATTATCGCTTCCGCAGGCTGCGCCCAACAAAAAAAGTAAATAGCAGCTCGCGCCCTATACTTTAGCGCAAAATTGGGCAATTTGGCAATGTTTATATTTTCTGACGACTGTATTGAATAATAAACCATTTAAACATATTTTCAGCCGAATTGGAAACCACGAATGCACCGAATTCAGCTTTCAATTGCTCATCTCCAAAGCGGATATGAACAAAACGGGGATTCAGTTCAATATTTATTCCAGACAAGTTCTCATCGATCGGAATTTAACGTATGTTATCTTGGGCTGCTTTTGCCTTTGCTTAATCATATATATATATTTTTTTAGCATGGAAGTTTGGCTGGGGAGTTGTTTGGCGTTTGAAGTTCGCCGAGAACGGACCGATGCCACAAGATACAAGGTTGTGCATCCCTGTAAGTCTTTTAAAAAGTGGGGTGATATATTTTTGAACTTTTTGGGGGTTTCTTTCGATTTTGGGCTTGTTTAAGGCAATGTGTCGAAATGGCGCAGTGGTTGTGAGTTAGAGTTGCAGTCGGATGGTCGCGGGTTCGAATCCCGGTGGACGAAAATGGCTTTTCTTTAAAAAATTTGGTTTTTTTTTTCTGACTCTGTAAATAACATATTTATATGTTTTAATGCCCAGAATATACTTAAATTTAAATATTTTTTCTATTTTTTCCTCAATTTTTCAAAAATTTTTTTTTCAGCTATACACTCATCGGATTTTCTCTTCGATGATCAGCGCCTGCACATTAATATTCAGCCGACTGTGATCAGCATGAAAGCGCCACGACTTCGAGTTATCCACGAGATGCGTTTGGACTGCCCTTTGCCTTTGCATTTTGCTGGCGTTTATAACGATCAAACTTATTATCGAGTGCATATGGGCCTCCGGTTCAGCGCAACGCGAACCCCGGAGATGAATGTTAATTTTGTAAGCGATTTTTTTGATTTTCAAAAAAATTTTTTGATTTTTTTCGAATTGAAAATTCCGTATTTTAGCCCGATTCGATTCACATTGGGCATCCGCCAGAGGCACAGAAGGACTATTACAAGCCCAGAGAGCACGAAAGCACCAAAGTCAACGAGAAAAGTTGGGTGTTGCCGGTGATTTTTGTCGCTGGAGGGCTGTAAGTTTTCTAAAATTCTGATTTTTACTGTGGTTTTGAAAAATTTATAGTGACTTTTTAACCTTATTATAACTCCCTGAGGGCTTACGGTCATTTTCCCGCCATTTTGAGAAAATGTGTCGAAATGGCGCAGTGGGTTGCAAGTTGGTCTGAAAATTTAAAGGTCGCGGGTTCGAGTCCCGGTGGAGGAAAAAGTTTTGGGAATTGATTTCATAATTAATCTTGGTCATGTTAGTGTCTAAATGTTATGTAACTGGCCGGAATAGAGTTGAAAATGGAGTTCTATAGTCGTTTTTCCAGATTTTCGCTTCTCTTGCTCTAAATTACTGTAAAATCGGCTAAAATCGAGAATTTTGAATTACTTCGAGTGTGTATTTGTTTGCTTTGTAAATTATTAAGCGAAGTGGTTCACTCAACGTACATTACATTCATTTTCAGGCTGGTCATGCTCTGTTGTGGCCTTGGAATTGGGCTTTATTGCAAGTTTGGGACTCGGTGGACGATCCAAAGAAAATCGAAGGACGCCGGGAAGTCAGAGTCAAATCCATCTTCTAAAGCCAGCAAAAGCTCCAAAGAATCGGCCAAGGAGTCTTCGGAGAAATCGATCAAATAAATTTTTATTGGACTTGAATTTTGATGAAAATAAAAAATTGTGTTGAGATTTGTTGGTCTCCAATAACAATCTTCTAACAATTTTTTTTTAATTTTGCATTATATCCGCCGTGAAAGCAAAGTCTTTGTACAGAGGTTTGACTGAATTCCTAGGCGCGAAGGATCCACATTATTTTCCCGACAAACTGATGCCGTTGGCTTTCAGTCGATTTTTGGGCCCAAAAACTATACATCAGTCTGTCGGGAAAATAATGAGCGACAATATATTGCTATATCGCTGCGCCAATCACGTCGCTAAAGTGGAAATTAATCTGATTTTGTCGCGACACAATCCATGCGGCGATGTGATCTTCGCTGCGACAGAGCGCTCATTATTTTCCCGACAGACTGATGCCCTTTTCGCTAGCCGCTGGAGCGTCGTTTTGCACCGTTCAAAAGGCTTCTTCAGATGCTGCTCCCACCCTGATTTTTCCGGACAGTGCAAACGCCTTTACTTATATTCATAACCGTCTATGAGATGCAATTTTTGCTCTCTTCAATTACATATTTACTAGTCCTTTTGCAAAGTCGCTGGATTGAATTTTAATTTGCGATGAACAGCACTACGTAAAAAAACCAAACAAAATTCGGCCCAAGACAGCATTTGCACAGTGCATTTTTGTTTCTACAGTCGCGGTCAAAAAAAACGGCCACCCCAAGATGATGCGCTCTAACGCAGAAGAGAGTGGTCGTAGGAAGATAAACATGGGATCATTGTAAAGCTTTGGAATACTAAGCCGTGTGACTATACGCTTGTGGTACTGTAGTGCTGGCCTAGCACGTACTGGGGCAAGATGTTCTTTTGGCCTGGTCAAAAAAAATGGCCACCCATAATTATTGTGCTTTAAATGCGGTTTATGAAGGCCAGCACTACAGTACCACAAGCGTATAGTCACACGGCTTAGTATTCCATAAGCTTTACAATGATTCCATATTTATCTTCCTACGACCACTCTCTTCTGCGTTAGAGCGCATCATCTTGGGGTGGCCGTTTTTTTTGACCGCCAGTGTACCTTACATCGCTCGCGATTCTCATTTTTCGCAGCGACAAATCATTTTTTCATTGAAAGAAAATTGAATTTTTTATTATAGAATTCGGGAGCTCAATAAATTTTGAGGACTTTTCGCGCCGAATATAGTGCACGAGTCTGCCGGGGAAATAATGCGGCTTTGTGAAGACAAAATGTCTTGTGTTTTTGCCCTCTAGTGGTATGTATGTGCTACAGCACAAGTATATCTTGTGACATGTTTCCTCTATGGCAACGGATTTTTGATTACTCGAACTGTTTCGCTTACACAGCCCTCATTATTTTCGAAATACCATCGCCTTCTCCATCAATATTTTCTCCATTATCTCGCAACGGTTGCCACAATGGTCCTTCAAAGTTCCACACAAGCACAGCAAGCGCTGTAAACCCGCTCACGTTGAGGCCATTCATCAGCGATAAGAGCGAAGAAAATGTGTGGTAAACACGTTGATACTTTTCGGGGCGCTTTGTTCGCAGGTCATAAGGCACATGATAACGAACGCCGCAAGATACGTACGTTGGCTGTCAACAAGCGTGATCGGCGCTATTTGTGGAGAAATGTGGGGAGAGCAAGAGGATGAAGAGATGCTACTTTTACGCTCGGAGCGTTGAACAGTCAAGTGGGAAGAATGGAAAGATAGAAATGTTTGCAGCAATGCAACTCTTGAGAAAAACTCGTTACGAATTTAGACAACAGTTTTCCTCGAAAAATGCGAAACCCTTAGGTCGGGCTTTCTAGAAACGACCGGAAAAAACTTTTTTTTTTTGAAAATTTTGGCACGAAAAATTTTTAATCATAAGTAAAAATGACCTAGACTTTTCGGTCCAAAGTTGGAAAAAGCGCGACAATTTTTTGCAAATTCTGGCCTAAAAGTTTCATGCCCATTTCTACTGTAGAGGGCAATGTTTCCACAAAAAATCAATTTTTTCCACGCGAAACTGGCAAGGATATAGCTAAAAAGTGTTCTTCTCTTTGACCGCTCTCCGCGTTTTTAGTCTCTCGGCCGCGAAGACCGTTGAACATCTCGGCTGGGAAAGCGCGAGCTAGGAATTTCAGGAGTTGATGGCTGGGCCTTGCACGACATGTGGGCAAAGTTTAAATGAAATCGGAGCGTTGCACTTGGGGTAGTTCCCTTGCAAGCAAGGCTGCAAATCCCGGTCGATGCGAATAAAATTTCTTGTGGATTTGTTTGAAAATTATAAACGGTTGATTTGTGCCTTAAATAGTTACAATATCTACTGTGGGGGCAAAATAAATCTTATTTCAAAACGCTAAATGTAAATATTGCTACTAGGTTGGCCTAAGAATCATTATGAAGTGTGGCGCTTGCCAGTAAAACCGTTTTACATATGACATTTACTGGTTTTAAACACCTATAACGTGGAAAAACACTTTTAACTTTTTTTAATTTTGAAAAACATGTAAGTTTGATGGTTTTAACCGTAATCGACCGTTTTCTAGAAAAATTAAAGCGTTTGTAAAAGTTTAACTCAAATATTATCCTAACTGTAAGAACGCAAAATGTGTTTTCCCAAGATTGGAATCGAACCTAGCTCGGTTTGGCTTATCGGCCTGCTCAGCAACCACTGCACTATTGAAGCAACCCCCTTCGATCATTTTTATCCGCTCAAGAGAAAGAAAGACTTTTGTTGCGAAATGACCTAAAAATAATGAAATTTACAGTATCTCGTCGCGGAAAGGCATTCTGCAAAAAAATGAAAATGGTATCTTGCACCATTTTTCAAGGGCTTTCCAATGGTGTATATCACTTGCCATTTGGCGAGGGTTCGTTTGTGCACTTCCCTAGTGAGTCAGAAAATCTTCATTCTGCGTAAAGCGTCTTGTCGTATTCTTTGGATGGTGAGAAACTCTTGTCATTTCATTTAGCCTTTTCGATGAAGATATGGTCATAAGAAGTCAGATTTTGGGAGACATTTGTTTCGACGGCCCTCCCGGGTCGGAATAAAACTGAAACGGCCGGGACGATTTGTTACGGCCCTCGGGGCGCCTTTTGCTCCGAGCCGGCCGCCGAGCCATGTCTAGTCTAGTTTGCACAGTGCATTTTGTCTTTTGCCTTACATCGAGCGCCATTCCCGTTTTTCTCAGCGAAAAATCAGTCTTTCTTTTCCCGAAATACGGCAGAACTGGACGCCTCAATTATCAGGACTTTTTGCCTCGAGTAATATAAAGAAAATATTATTTTCCCTCTCCCCGTTTCCATCAAACATAATGTGACTTTGGTTTATGATCAACAGGATACCCACGTTTTTTTTGAGTGTAATTGTGGGGCTTATCGAGCAAGCAGTTCGTACGGTCGCCACGTTGTGAAACTGCCGATAAGAGGTCGTTGACACATGACTTTTTTTTGTTTAATTGCCTTTGGAAAGGAAAATAGGGGACGTTGCAGAAGGTCGCTGACTATTGTATTGATAATTACAAGGCAAACAAAATGGAAAAAATATTTTTTTGAACTGTAAAGGAAAATGGTCGTAATTTTAGATACGAATATTTGATAAAGTATCAAAATGTATCCATGATAACATTTGATACTTTTTGGCTAAAAGTTTGATTTTTTTGGCCAACAGACGTCTACATGCCTGCTTTTTCGCATCAGTACTTAATTTTAGTCCAATTTTTTAAAAAGTATCAAAAAGTATCCATGATAACTTTTGATACTTTTTGGCCAAGACTTTGATTTTTTGTCCAATACACGTTTAGGAGCTCAACCTGCTTTCCTGTCTTATCAACACCTAAAATATTTTCTCAATTTCTTAAAAAGTATCAAAAAGTATCCATGAAAACGTTTGATCCCTTTTGATCCTTTTTTGGCATTGATGTTCCAACTGTACCGCTTATCAATCCGTTACAAATTTAGATCATGTTTTGAAGGCCCAGTCGAGATATTCAAGCATTTTTTCCGTCAAGAGAGTACGCGGCACACGGAGAGCGGTCAAAGAAAAGTACTATACGGCCATATCTTTGGCAAGTTTGGCCGAAAAAACAATGTCTTTACTTTAGACATAGCCATTATACTATAAGGTAGAAATAGGCATAAAAATTTTCAAGCCAAAATTCGCAAAAAAGTAACCAGTTTTCCTCAACTTTTCAACGAAAAAATCTCGGTTGTTTGTGCGAAGCGCGAGCTAGGAGTTTCGCGTAGATCATGGGGTAAGTCATTTTTAATTAAATCCACGGCCAAAAAGGATATCTTTGTTTTCATTCGAAATAAAAATATTTCTCCTTATGTATCACAATATCAAAAAGTATACCTGATTCCATTTTTTTACTTTTTTGGACAAGATATGTCGGTCTTATAAAGCCATCATTTAAATTCAAGCCAACCCTAAAAATCACTTGAATTTTCCCCTATATTGACGATTATTTCCACTTTGTTTTATCTTTGATCATTCCTCGTATACCTCTGTCATAATACCTGTTATCTTGCGGATTAACCACCGTAAGAAAGGCTGATAAAATGGGACATTAGAAACTAATTTCCCTTTGTTACATCAGAAGCGAACATCAAGGGTCCAAGCCGTCCAGCCAGCACTGATAACGCCGCAATAACAACGTAATCAGCGGTTATTGGACCTGATGTCTTACTGTTGTCGCTGTTTCGGACATTTTTTCTCTGTTGAACTTGGTCTACCCGTGTTTGTGTAGTCGGCCCGAGAACGTGTCTACCTGCACGTGTTCGTTGTTTTTCAGGATAGACGCTCTTTATTATCCTGCCCTTTCACTACTTTCGAGTCGACAAGATAAACTGAGGAGCAAGGAATTCGAACGGACAGAACACACATATTTAATTGGTTGTATAAAATCCAATGGCAAAAAACGTGTCATTTTGCATCCTGGAAGGGACCAAAACATCTCCAAACCCTTCCCTTCTTTAAGCTAAAAAACTCCGCTTTGAAAAGCGCACCCTTTCCTTCA